CTGAATGTTTGCACTGAAGATATCAACCCTTTCTCCCCACAGTTACCTGAAAGACCTTTAGCTTTTCTCTTGTTACCTTCTTTCATACCCATCAAGCTCAGTAGTAACCTCAATTGTTCAAGTCAGCTTCTCTCACTTTAGGAAAAGTTGTGGGCTTATACACACAGTGGTTTCACTGTACTGTAATATACCAGTATATGGTGTACAAGTAACAAGTGCATGTGACAAATGTACATGTGCATTTTGTGGAAGAGATATTTGTGGAACTAATTCACTCTGTAATTATGGCAACCATGTTTGATTCAGAGGGAACACCTTACTGCAAAACAGGATGTCTCCTGATCATAGTGATAAGTGATAATATACAGCAAGGTATGCTGGTATGAAAATGAATAAAAAGGCCATTATTTTTAGCTCAGGAAACCTCAGTCTGTTGAACTATAGTAAGTATGATGGTGCTATTATTAACTGCAGGCAAACTAATTAATGACTTGGATCAAAATTAAGCTGTGTAAATGTGTGACAGGTGTCAATTTGACCCCAGTCAGAAATCAGAATCTGTTTGTTAGTCTGCTGGAAGTTACCAGCTAGGTTCCCAAAGATTTGTGGTTAAAATATTTGTTCGTTAGCAGGATGTCTCATGTGAACTGATTGTATTGTGCACCAGCGTAATGCTATGAGCCAAGATGCTGTCGTACAAAGAAATTTTGTTTGGAGCCGAGGGGCCCCGGGCCGCTGCGTGTGTACCCACCGCCATCATGGGCAACTTGGGAGGTTCAGTGTCTTGCCCAAAGACACCGACATGTGGACTGTATGTCACCAACCTTCCGGTTGGGAGATGACTGCTCTACCCACCGCACCACTGTGGCCCCCGAACGTTACCTAGGTGCACTTGTTCAAGTACTGTAGTTAAGTACAGTTTTGAGGCATTTCCATCTTATATACTTTTACTCCATTATTTTTCAGTGAGACTGTGTAATTTTTACTTCACTACATACACATGACAGCTGTAGTTACTAGTTACTTTGCAATTTCAGATAAGAAAATACAAAATATAAACCAAAAATAAGACTTATTAGTGAGTGAGGGGAATTCCACAAAGTATTCAGTAGTTTATAAAGTTCTTAAAATTAGCCCCACCTTTAACAACTGTAACATTAAATTGATGAACACTTAATGCATTGATAATTATAATTCAGTGATATTATATACATTACTCTGAAAAAGAGTCATTCTATATGTGTACTTTACCTTTGGTATTCGAAGTGCATTTTGCAGGATTTTACTAATGGAGCATTTCTACGTTGTGGTACTTTCACTTTAGTAAAAGTAAACAAGTAAAGTAAATAATTAAAAAGTAGATCATCTTGTTGATCTAAACCACCATTGTCCAAGCCCATTTAAGTAAACTAAACAGTGAAACAGAACTATCGGTAGCTTTATCAGTAGATTGGGATCAGTAGTGTTGTCTGTACAGTTAGATCAATGCTGTGAGACGGGACTAGTGGGAACCCTGAAACACCAGTGTTAAAGCACTACTTACCATTGATCTAAAAAAAAAAATAGAAACGCAGGCCGCAACTCTTAAGTTGATGTTCGCTATCCAGTCCACTGTGTCATCATCCACCTAATGCTGCTCCACTCAGCGTATATTGTACTTTCTAAAATTTGCGCTAATGGGCTTACCATAGGCTTACTGCATTGGCCTGTATTAGCTTATGTGTATATTGTCAGTGATATTCTTAGAGGCCTCTCTCAGCTCACTGTTGTTTTGCTGACAGCTTGTTAACCGTATCCTAAAAAAAGTCCTGTGTTGTTGAAACAGAGAGCTGAACCCACTCACAATAAATCTCTAAATAAAGAAAGCTGATGATGTGGAATACTTGCATCAGCTAAGAACAAACAACATAATTCCCTGTCTCCTATCTGAGTGCTGAGCGGACCCTTGTACCAAATGGTCGGTTGTTAAGACAGAGACTGCTTTGTATACATTTTTCCATGAAGTCCCAGCATGGGTCTAATG